CGTGAAAAAACCACGGACATGATGACAAACCTAACATCTGGAACTAACTTGTACTACTAAACAATTTAATTAGATACGGTGTAGAAAGTATTTAGAGCGAACATGATATGTTGTAAACATTGTGCGGTTTTGTTTCGAACGGTCTAAATTGTATGCAAAGTGATAAGAGTCTTTTAACACACTCAGGACACCTGTCCTTTTGACCCTCATTCACCCTAATATTACCAGACCTAAAACCGAATCACTTGTGTGATGAATGTAAACAGTGAAATAGATAACAGTCCTATATAGGAACCGACAGAGTTGCACAGACAAAATGATTTCCTCCTTGTCGCGACATTACGACATGATACTTGTTGATTGTAAATTAATAAAGATGCGTGATTTATTCTTAACACGGTTTTTGTTGAGGGTCCTTCCATAAAAATATCCTATTAACCTCAAAGTATTACTAAAATAAAGACGATTTCTATTGCACGATCGTATCGACTTGATCAAAGTTCTACCAGGGCCTCACAAATGCATGCATTACGTCCCATCCCCGTGATCACTTCAAGACTTTATATGTGTCGATATACTCCATAACGCTCGAGCTGTTTGAGTGTAATAACCGTAATCTGTTTATTTGACTAATACAGAGAACTAACTATACAATTTTCAAGTAAACATACGACGTATACAGGTACAGAATTCTATGTCTAAGCTCACCCAAATGCATTTCAAGCATACATTACATGGTAATTCAGGTAAGTAAGGGCTGTAACACAAGTAAGGGATACTTAAGAGGCTAGGAACTATAGGACTTCACCAAAGTTGATTCTGACCTAGATATAGAGGGGCATTGAGCGTTTTCGTTGAGTAGTGGACATGCAGTTTGTGCCACTGTGTCATCCCCGTTCTCTCAGAGTCTAGGTTCAACCTTGAGTAACAGTCCTTTGGCTATGTTTGCCTATATTGACAGACTCACACTTTACGGACCGCTTTATTTTCTCTGTCAAGACTGTCGCAACAATCGCATGTACCTGGTACACAGGGCAGGGGGTGGCGCGTGCATTTTGCGGTCGGCAAGCACGGCAACCCGTTCTGTGCAAGTGGGCTTTCAAACGAGGGACCACCCCAGCGCAGGTTTCTATGTACTGGCAAGTGTAC